ATTCCCCCAGCCACTTTAAGACTTGTGGACTTCAACTCCCAGAGTTCCCCAGCCAGCATAAAGCAGAATTCCCCCAGCCACTTTAAGACTTGTGGACTTCAACTCCCAGAGTTCCCCAGCCAGCATTCTGGGAGTTGAAGTCCACAGGTCTTAAAGTTGCCAAGTTTGGAGAGCCCTGCTTTAAAGAGACAAGCCTCTGCATTAATACTATCGAGAACAGATTGTTTACTGCTCTGATGATAACGCAATGATTGAAGTGTGCTGAAGTGTGTCAAGGAGCAATCTTCCCCTAACCAAGAAATACAGTACATCCAAATAATGACCACTAAATACTACAACATATAACTTCAGTTTATACATTTTGAGGCTAATGCTGCATGCCAGGAGCAGTGCATGCACCTCCATTGTAGAAATTGTTCTACATCAGCTCTTGTAGATCCTGCAATGATCAAAAACACCTAGACAACCCACCCAAAAGTTCCTTTTCTTTTGGATACTCACAGCTTCTCCAACAGTTTGAGTTTGCTCTGAACTTGCGACGCCCTGTTTGCGTTGTAGTGTGCATATGGCTGGAGAATTCTGGGACTTGAAGTCCACCCATTCAAAAGTTGCAGGATTGAGAATTTGCCTTAGAGAATCTGGTGGAAGTAACCTTAAGTTGTGTCCTCCCTGGGAATGGCCCCATTACTTTGAGGAGTGTCAAATGATGTTATTTCCCCATTGCCAGTGGACTTTGTGCATGCAGGGATTAGGCAACATTTATCGTGTAACATCAGGAGCCAATAAGCTGCAAGAAGTTGGATGACTCTCTTGATTTAGAATGGCCGGTTCCTTAACCAGATCAATTAAAGGCATAGATTTATCATTTTTACATGGCCTGCTCTGTTTAGGTTTAAGGACACTGTGCAAAGCGTGGCAATGAGCAACATAATGCAGACACTCTTCTTTACCTGATTTCTCTCTCCCTCTTGCAGGTCTGCCTGAAGAGTTTACTGCAGCCTCAGACACCAAAACAGACGGTAAGTTAAGGCTAGTATTGCCAGCTGTCAGTAGGGGGAGCAAATGCATTTTGGTTGGGATTCTTCAATAAATCCAGAGAGCCACAATTCTCAATCTGGCAACTTTTATGACCATTGGGGGTTCAATTCCCAGAATGCTGGGCTGCTGGGGAATTCTAGGAATTGAGACACACATCTTTATAATTGCCAGAGTTGAGAAATGCTGCCATAGAGGCTCATTTACATGTATACATCGGAACTAGACTGTGGTTTCTCTATGTCATATATGTGGGAGCTGAATTGAATTGAATTCCTTATTAGCCAAGTGTGATTGGACAAACAAGGAATTTGTCTTGGTGCAAATGCTCTCAGTGTCCATAAAAGAAAAAGAAATACATTTGTCAAGAGTCAAGAATCATCAGGGACAACACTTAATAATAGTCATAGGGTACAATAAGCAATCAAATCATACTAGGAAACAGTCAATATAAATCATAAGGATACAAGCGACAAAGTTACAGCCATTACAGCCACAAGTGGGAGGGGATGGGCAATAAGGAGTGATGAGAAGATTAATAGTGATACTAATGAAGATTTTGTAAATAGCTGGACAGTGTTGAGGTAATTATTTGTTTAGCAGAGTGATGGCATTTGGGAAAAAACTGTCCTTGTGTCTAGATGTTCTGGTGTGCAGTGCTCTATAGCATCGTTTTGAGGGAAGGAGTTGAAACAGTTTATGTCCGGGATGTGAGAGGTCTGTAAATATTTTCACAGCCCTCTTTTTGACTCGTGCAGCATACAGGTCCTTGATTGAAGGCAGGCTGGTAGTAATTGTTTTTTTCTGCAGTCCTAATTACTCTCTGAAGTCTATGTCTGTCCTGTTGGGTTGCAGAACCAAACCAGACAGTTATAGAGGTGCAGATGACGGATTCAGTATATGTAATTTTGTATTATTTATTTTGTCATGTTCATGTAGTGTATATTGGAAGTAGTGATCCTTTGAGAGCTGTGTGCAACGAAATTTCGTTTCAATGCATGCCAATTAGCGTACGTTCAAAGTGACAATAAAGTTATTCTAAGTTCTATTCCATCACTCCAGACACCGCATTTAAAGCGTTTTGCATCAAGGGAAGTGGGTTGAAAAGGAAGTTAAACAGCTAATTTTACAGCCATCTTTAAGGCAGGGGTCCCCAACCCCCAGGCTGCGGCCCAATACTGGGCTGCGGAAGCAGCGTGTGTGCACATGCAGCTCCACTTGCATGAGCAGCTTGCACCAAGGGAGCGTGCACATGCTTGCTCGCTGTTTGCGTGGAACCATCCCTTCTCTGGCCCCTGCCAGTCTGCAAAGCCAGAAGGTTGGGCACTGTTGCTCTAAGGAGTCTTTAAGAAAAAATACCTTACTAATCACAATGTTAGATTGGGGTGTGCTGACTGAGACAAAACAAGGGTGCCGGTGATAAAACCTCTTTCCCCCCCCCCCCCCCCCCCCCCCTCTTTTTACACAGAAGACGATGCTTGGGACCTCATCACTTGCTTCTGCTTAAAGCCCTTTGCCGGGCGACCCATGATCGAGTGCAACGAGTGCATGACTTGGATACACCTCTCCTGCGCCAAGATCCGCAAGTCCAACGTGCCCGAGGTCTTCATCTGCCAACGCTGCCGAGACGCCAAGCAAGAGATCCGCCGGTCCAACAGAGCCCGGACCGTCCCCCGCAAACGCTTCTGTGACTGACTGTAGCAGGGAGGGACGAAGGGGGGGACTCCGCCCTCCGAAGCTTCAGTTGGATTTATTTTTTATTTTTATTTTTTTTTGCTGCCAAGACAATCAAAAATGCGGGAACTGACCGGAGGCAGCCCTGGAAAGACATTTTGACACGCGTGTCTTAATTCCAAATGTTGAAATTTGGAGGAAGAGGAAGACAACTGAGGTGCTGTTGAGATCTCAGGGTTATGCTAGAGCTGCAAATGCACAAATGCCTGGCAGAGACAAGAGACAAGTTGATGGGGGGGCAGCGGACGGGGGGGGGGGGGGATTTATCTGCAGGCCATGCACTAAGTCAGCCAGTAGCCTCTCTGCCCTTAACGCAGAGGTGCCTTTTTCTCAGCAGCAGAGAGAGAGAGTTGGGCCCAAGCAAGATTTTTTCCTGTGGTACGCCAGCTGCTCGGACTTTAAATGGGTCGGATGATGCACCCTCCGTTTTGTGGTTGGTTCTGCGCCCCTTAAGAACGGCGGGACGCTCCTCGACTCCTTTCCCAAAAGCACACTTCAAGGGGGGGGGCAGTCCCCTTCCCCCTTGTGCACAGACTCTCACACACCCCCGAGCTTAGAGAGGGCTCTTTTGCAGCCTATTTAGTGCGCGCTCTGTTCTGTCCCCCAGGACAGCTGGCTCCCCATTTCAGAGCCTCCCTGCCCTTCCAGCATTTGAGCGAGATGCTATGCTGTATAGCTAAGCTAGTCCTTCTTGGACCAGGAAAAGTGGGGTGATAATATTCCGACTGTACATACTTGGTATGCAGAGGCTTAGAAAATATTTAGCTCTATCTACTCGACTCACTGGCCTAGCCTAGACTTCCGGTTGCACTACTGCCTTTATTTGAAGGGAACATGGGACTGCCTGGGGAGGGGGGAGTTGGGGGGGGGGGGAGGGGGGGGACGGGGGGACGCTAAGAGGTGGAGAGCCTTTTTGGGCGGTAAAAGGGGAGCCCTCTTCCCCCCCCCCCCCCCCCCCAAAGTTGGATGGATGGTGAGGCACCTGGCAGAAGCAGATTGGGTCCTGCTTGTCTCCAGGCTGCTCTTGGGAGAGCAATCTGGGGATTTCTTCTTTAAAAAAAAGAGAGATCTGTGTCCTATGCAAACTACTGGTTGTTCCTGGGGAAATGATGCCAGCAAGCAAAACGCTTGCTTGGAGATGGATGTGTCTTGTCACTCCTTCCCGGCTCAGCTGAGACTCTTCCGGTTTGACCCATGTGCCTTCTTTCATCTCATCCTTCAGCCCCGCGCATCCATCTGAAATCTCTACCCTGATGGCACACAAGAATAGTGCAGTCATTTTTTCCAAGTGGGTTTTGCCCAGTTTGGAACAGGCTACACCTGGCCACTGCTTAATAAAAGAGCAAAAAAAATGCGCCACCTGATTTACGATCCCATCTGTACCTCTGCTTCCCTTGAGTGTTTACATTTTTACGGTTAGTCTCTATAAAAATGTAAGGTAGCACAGTACAAAGCTGTATACTGGGTATATACTGAGTGATACGTATAGATTAAAATACTTTTAAAGCCACTCTTTGTACTTCGTTTCAGCACAAATCAAACCACTGCTTTTATCAACAGGCCACATTTGCACACCCTTGCCCTATTTTTTTTCAGTTTGCCCGATATTCTTTCCCTAGTTTAAATGGAATACTCTCATCCACTCTCATGTTTCACAATTTAAGTTTTCTCTTACTTGCTGCTCCATAGGTAGTCCTCAATTTATGCCTGTTCAGTTAGCAACCAGTTACAATAGCCGCCTACCCCAAAACTACTGTGACCTGGATCTGATGCTCCCTCCTGCAGTTGCATGAACACATTTCAGGCACTGGGCAACTACCTCTGCATTGGTGTCACATGCACGAACAATTTAGTTTTTTTGGGAGGGCAGAAAATTAGCATTTGCTTCCGGTTCCCAGCAAATACAAACTGGCCCACAGCAAACAATGGGGCTTGCATGAGCGCTGCAAGAAAAGGCCATAAAATCAGGTTGGTAGCATGAGCAACCTGCTTTACAACTTTCAGGATTGTAACCGCCAGGCTCAATTAAGGACAATGTAAGGTCGTGTGATTGAAAGCAAAGTTGGAAATTAGGATGCTACTCCAGGCTACTTCTGCTGGCTGCCTGCAATTTGGCAGTTCAAATCCCACCAGGCTCCAGGTTGACTCAGCCTTCCATCCTTCCGAGGTGGGTAAAATGAGGACCCAAATTTGTTAGGGGCAAGAGGGCGGCTCTGTAAACTGCTGAGAGAGGGCTGTAAAAGCACTGAAGCAGCATATAAGTATTATTGCTATTATCCCATTAATTAGCTTTAAAGACAGGTTTGGAATATCAGGCTCAACAGTTGAGCCTTAGGGTTGAAAATTTTCCAGTCATCCCAAGATCTCTTTATCAGAAAGGCACAGGATGAATGAAATTAGAATACTGTTAGCCATAATATGTAGTAAAGAGAAGTATAATGAATGAGGCATTTATACCCTATTTTCGCAATTCTGTTATAAAAGACCACAGGACAACATCCAGCATAGATTTTTTATTTTTATTTTCATAACTAGAAGCAAACAAATAATTCTTTTTTAATGTGTCCCCAAGAAAAATATCACAAGACTTCTTTTCAAAAAGGCAGTTACAATCCAACACCACCCAAATTGCATTTTAATTAGTTTTTTAAACACGTCTTTTCAAAATCACAGTTGCAATTCCCTCAAAATGTATCTTTTTTAAATTAATTTTTTTATACAAACTTCCTTAAGCATAAGATGCGCTTCTACCTGTGCTGAGCTGAAATAACATTTGGGTCAGCATTATCTATCCTCTTGCCTCAATTATAAACTAACTTTTTTGGGGGGGGGGGGGAGATAACGGGTCATTCTGGATACAGAACCGAGAGCATGTTGTTTACAGGAGGAAACGGAAGAGTTTTTATTTGGTTTTGATCCGTGTTCCAAAACCTGCAGCTCTTAAATTAACCGGGTTACTTCCTTCCACGCAACTTATGGCCTTCCATTATCATCACACTGGATATTTCTTGGACAACGCAGGTTCCACGATATACTGGCAACCGTAGGTTAGCTGAGGACAATTTAGCTGTGCCGTGGATTGAAACAGTAAAAGTATTCCGTTCTAAGCATATCATGTATTCCAGGTCCTTTTAGTGTTTCTGGTAAATAAGGTTACTGTACCTCGAGCAAAAGGCTATTTTCATTTCTGAGAACGTCTCGATGGAAGATATCTGGAAATTGATCTGGAAATGTGAAAGCAGCAAATCCAGAATGTCTTCCTTTTTTAAAGCTACCCATTTTGCCTGGTCAGGTAATAAAAAGGGAATAACCAACGATGTTCGTGATCTGCAGGAGAAAAACGGGAGCTGCTCTAAACGTTGATCTGTTCTGATATCAGGCTGAGGGCACTTCACACGTTCCCAAGAGGAATGCAGCTTTCGAAAATGCTAACTGAAAGACAGAGAGAAAGAGGGAAGGAGGGAGGGAGGGAGAGACAGAGAGGCCAGCTATACTCTAGGCCAGGGGTCTCCAACCATGGCAACTTTAAGACTTGGGGGCTTCAAAGCAAAGCTGGCTGAGGAACTCTTAGGAGTTGAAGTCCACAAGTCTTAAAGTTGCCAACATTGGAGACCCCTGCTCTAGGCCGATGTTTCTCCATCTTGGCTTTAAGATGATGTAGACTTCAACTCCCAGAATTCTCTAGCCGCCTAGGGAATTCTGAGAGTTGAAATCCACACCTGAAAAATCGCCCAGGTTGAGAAGCCCTGCCCCAGGCCGCCCCACAGAGTTTACAAAGCTGCCTTCGGACACAAGAGCTCATTCTGTCCACTCGGAGAAAGAAAGGAGAACGGGGTTAACAGGTGGAAGGCACATCTTCTGAAGAAGAAAAAAAAGAGAAGAAGAAAATATCTCAAACTTCCCACAGCTTCACTCTTCATTGGCCCAGACAGCACAAAGGTTCTTCTTCTCTTCCAGATAAGGGACCACGGCATCCGTGTAGAACTTCTCCAGCTTGGGGACCGTTTGCTTCCAAAAAACCGGGTCGAAATCCACCGGGGCAATTGCAGTTTCTTTGTTGGTGTGAACGACAAAATCAGTTTTGTCCAAGCCGGAAACTCCCATCTGGCACTGAACCTGGGTATAATAGGGATGATTTTTCTTCAACGAGTAGGAACTGCCTTCCTTTTCCAGGCAGAAGGTATCGTCTCGGCACGCTTCGGCCACCGTCTTATTTCTGTGTTTGTAGGGGCACTTCACCTCCAAGAGACTAAGATCCTTGCCGGTTTTCGCATCTTGGACAATGCCATCGGGGCTGCCAGCCAGCCAGGGTTTGTCTTTGTCAACGAAGAGGCCGCAGTCCTTCACCTTCACCGGCTTCTTGGCCGTGCTGGACTTGAGGGCTTCATAAGCTTGCACTGCCGCCTTCTCGTTGCGGACTCCCCAATTCATGGCCGGGGTGCGTACCCCGGAGCCGGATCCCACCACCTCCTTCAGGTACGACTGAGGCACTTCCGAGGTCCGGCCGTTGACAAACTTGCTGTTGGAGATCCTGGGAGCGATGGAGGCCGTGATGCGGTTCTCGCGCCACTTGTGCCATTCGGGGTTTCTCCACTGGCCCCGGGTTTCCCTCTCGACCTCAGCCACTTTTTCAGGGGAGAGGGGTGCAGGAGGCAAACCCTTTGCTCTGCCTTGGGCTTTGCTCGCGGCATCGGAAGTAGGAGGAGGATTGACTCCACCCGACGCCGCGGGGCTCTTGACTGCTCCTCCATCGCTCTTCCTTGGACCTCCGCGCCGGCCATCAGAAGCCGTCGCAGGCCTGGGCTGGGCGCTCTCCCCTGCTCCTCTAGGCTTTCTGGAATAGGAAGCCTCCTCTGGGGCTGACCCTCTGCCGCTCCCACTCTTAGGAACCGTAGCCGTTGGGTTTGCACCGGTTGCAGGGGCGGTCCTGGAGGTGGCCGATGACCGAGGAGCTCCCGGACCTGCCTTGGGGGCTGTAGCAGCTGGGCGGGGAGATGCAGCAGAGTCAGAGGTTTTCCTGGGTCTCCCCATTTTTCAAAGTCTTGTTCTGCAAATATCAGAAGAGAAGAGGAGAGTTTATGACACATGGAGAGACACCTAGGAAATCATTTCCTAATATTCCTGCTCCATGAGTTGTTTGCATCTTCTGCCTTTTATTTATCAATGGTTGAAAAGACCAAAAGAACCTCCCCCCCCCCAAAAAAAAATCATCCACAGATAAATCTTGGAAAGTACAAGTAGTCCTCGACTTACAACAGTTCGCTTAGTGATGGTTCAAAGTTACAACAGCAGAACTGAAAAAAAGTGACTTATGACAACTTTTCAGCTACATTTCCAGGATCCCCACAACCACCTGATCAAAATTCAGAAGCCTGGTAACTGGTTCATGTTTATGACCGTTGCTGTGTCCTGAGGTCATGGGATCATAGAACAACAGAGTTGGAAGGGACCTTGAGGGTCATCTAGTCCAACCCCCTGCTCGAGCAGGAGAGTCTATTCCGAATGATTAGCCTCTACCTAGGCTTGAACTCGCAGCCTCCTGATTGTGAGGCAAGGGCTCTACCTCTAGGCCACCGGAGCTGCCTCATGTCATGGGGGAAGCCGGATTCACTCTAACAACCGGGTCACCAACTGATCAACTGCAGGGATTAACTTAACAACCGAGGCAAGAAAGGTTGTCCCATGAGGCGAAATTCACAAAAATACACCTCACTTCACCACAGAAATGTTGGGCTCCATTGTGGTCATTAAAGTCGAGGACTACACCTGGGCAAGAGATGGGAATGGCAGAGCTGCCTCCTCACACGCTCTCTTTCCTTTGCCTCCCTGGGGGAAAACGGGAGGAAAACGGATTGGGGAGGGTGAGGAGAACTCTACTACTCACCATGGCTGCCAGAGATAAGACTTCAAGGACAGCCGGTTACGCAGCTGCATACCAAGGACAACCATTCCAAAAACATCTGGTTTCAATGCGATTGGACAAATGTGGAAAGGGGAGGTTGGAGGGGGTAAAGTCTCTTGGGAGGGAGGAAATTACACTTGGGAAATTTGGCACCCCAAACTTCAGATCTGGCTTTGCTTTGCTGTCCTTCATTTGACCCAAAGATGGTTTTTCAAGAGGCCGCTGGACTTTCTGCATTTTTCTTTTGAAGACCTTTCGCTTCTCTCATCCAAGAAGCTTCTTCAGCTCTGGCTGGATGGTGGGGAATGGAAGGGTGTATACTCCTTTGCAGAGAGTTATTATATTCCTTGCAAAGGACCAGCTGTCTGCAAGGGATAGAAATCCTTCCATTCCTCACCATCCAGTCAGAGCTGAGGAAGCAAAAGGTCTTCAAAGCCAGTTGCCTCTTGGAAAAACAAGACACCTTTGGGACAACCATGATCTGGATCAGGGGGTCTCCAACCTTAGCAACTTTAAGACTTGTGGACTTCAACTCCCAGAATTCCTCAGCCACAAATCTTAAAAGTTGCCAAGGTTGGAGACCCCCTGATCTAAACCACTCTAGAAGCCTTTTTCAACCAACCAGCAAGCCTACAGGATTTTAAATGAGATTGTATACATGCTGCTCATTGCACACATAAGCAAACTGGAAAGAGGTGGACACACCCCTCTTGTGCATGCACAAAGAGTCATTTTCCTCTGAAAACAGTGGAACCTTCAACAATCTGCGAGATACCCCCCCCCCCCGTCCCATTCTATGTGACTGCAAATAAAAGGCTGCATTCACAAAAACAAACACTTTCCTGAACACTGTTCTGTCTCTAGCCTGCTTCTAGAGTCGCCTCCTTTATAATCTGCTTTTTATTCTCTGAATAGCTGGACTACAGCTCCCATTCACCTAAGGGCCAGATGACTGTAAATCATATACATCCTTCCATTTCCCCGCCATTCCATCAGAACGGAAGAAGCTTCCTTGATGAGAAGTGAAATGTTTTCAAGGAGAAAAACTAAGAAAAAGTCCACTGGCCTTTTGAGCTCCTTTGCCAACGAGGTCGTTGTAATTACACTGGATCTGCAGCAATGCTGGTTTGAGGGAAACTGCCTTAACAAAGCCCCTTTGGTCTCATTCTTTTTTACTCTCTTGTGGTTTAAAATCCCAAAGAGGCTTTAGGGGGGCTGAGGATTAACTCCAGATAATGAGAACCAACCAGTTTTTCTAAGAGTCTGAAGGGAGCTCTGCGTTTTAGATCTCATCAAAACAGGTCTATATTTCCAACATAGTTATTTTCCAGGGACTAACTAAGTTTGCGCATCAAAAACGTGATTCGATCCAGAGATATTTTTATTGGGGATTTTACCTGAAGGTTATAGTAAAGAAATAACATATTTGATTATTAATGTTTTAACTGCAGCTAGAATTGTATTTGCTCAAAATTGGAAAAATGATAAAATTCCGATGGAGGAGGAGGAGATTAAGAAAATAGTGTAATATGCAGAAATGAGTAGATTAACATTACCAATTGGAGTGCAAGAAAAAAAGGAGTATTATAAGATCCGGGATTTAGTTAATCAATGGCTAGATAGAAGAGTAAGAAATTGAAGTATACTGTAATAGTAGTGATATATTATAATTGATTATTTTTGAATAAGTTACAATATGAATATAATTTACTAAGAATTGAGATTTGCTTTTAAAAATAGTCTGGAACTGAAATTAAAACTTTAATGACATTATAATAATGATATAATATGCTATAGAATGTTGATTAGAATATAATAATGTAAATTTAAGAGGAAAGGATTATAAATATAGTATACATGATATAGCAAACCGACACATTGTACAATTGAAAGGTTTTATTTGTTTTGTCATAAAAAAAAATTAAAAATTCAAAAAAAGCCAGTTTGAAGAAGCCACTGTTAACTAAGTACACTGAGTCCTCGATATACAACTCTAATGGGACCTGTCTGTCACGATCATTAAGTGGTTATGGTCATAAAACAGGTTACCTCCAAAACTGATGCAATCCAATGGACCTGTTTTGCCCCCTTTTTCAAAGGGTTGCAGAGTAACTTGTCATAAGTGGAGGATTACCTGTATGCGCATTGTACAGGTGGTCCTCGACTTATGACAATTGAGCCCAACATTTGTCGCTAAATCAAACATTTGTGAAGTGAGGTTAGTCCTGTTTTGCAACCCTTCTTGCCACAGCTGTTAATTACTACAGTTAAGTGAGTAACACTATTATTAAAGTGTGACTTGACTATACTCATCACAATTATATGACCTCAGGACACTGACGGTCATAAATATGAACCAGTTGCCAAGCAGCCAAATTTTGATCAGGTGACTGGGGGGGAGGGGAAATGCTGCAACAGTCATGTGAAAAGCAGTCGTAAATCACTTTTTTCAGTGTCGTTATAACTTCAGATGTCATTAAACAAACAAGTAGTCCTTGACTTACAACAGTTCATTTAGTGACCGTTCAAAGTTACAATGGCACTGAAAAAAGTGACTTATGGCCTTTTTTCAGTTATAACCTTTGCAGCATCCCCATGGATCATGTGATCAAAATTCAGAGACTTGGCAATTGTTTTGTACTTATGACCGTTGCTGTATTCCTGGGGTCGTGTGATGCCCTTTTGCACCCTTCTGACATGTGAAGTCAATGGGGAAGCCAAATTCACTTAACCACCGTGTTACTAATTTAACAACTGCCGTGATTCACTTAACAACTGTGGCAAGATAAGTCGTAAAATGGGGGCAAAGCTCACTTCACGTCTCACTTAGCAACATAAATTTGGGGCTCAATTGTGGTCCTAAGTAGAGGACTACCTGTATTATAAGTCGAGGACTACCGGTACCATGCCATAAATCATGTCTCCAAACTGTTCTTTGTGGGTTTGTATTAGGCTTGTAGCAAAAAGGAACCAAATGACCCTGAAGGATATCTTCCCTGAATCTAATCATAGCACAAATTGCATTTAACAAGATTTAAAGAGGTGAAGCAATTGCCTATGGCCTTGAAGTTCTCAGGGAGTACATTCATGCAATACTTTTGAGCTTTGCAAAGATTCCTCAGCTGGGCTCACACACGACTCCAAAATATAAACTAACCAACTGTCAGGTCACCATCTTGTCCTGCCATTCTGTTGGAAAGCGGAAGGGAGGCTTGCCAGCATTTTTCTCATGCTTTTCCTTTTGCTATAACCGCTTGGAATTAGGGAGGGGGACTGTCTTCCAGTTCCAGCCTGGTTCCAAGGCCATTGTGCCCCGAGACTGACCTGTTATCTTGCCTAGCACCTCAATGTTCTCAAAACATTCTTGTGGCATCCGATGGATTGGTCAGGGGGAATATTGGGTTGGGTTTTGGGGAAACGGAAGAATTGCTTTGTGCTTTGTGTGGGACCTTCACATTCTTCCTGAATTTACTGCAACCACTTTCTCTCAATAAAAGTACTTTTTAATTCAACTCAATGTAGTTTTGCTTTCCTGAGGGACCAGCAGAGGCAGGTCCTTACACCAACTTTGCTCAGTGTATCAAGCCACAGTAAGATTTAACTGAAGTTAAAACTTATCAAAGCAGAATATTATGCAAGTGCTGGTAAATTATAACCCATGGTTTATAAGCCCCAATTGAATTCAGTGAAACCCAATAAAGTACGTTATGACTCACAGGCACAAAAAAAAAAGACTTGATTCACTACAAAGGCTTCATTTCCCAGAATTCCCCAGCTAGTGTAACTGCTGCCAAAAGTATTAAGCTATTGAAGCTCTATTCCTATATTTTGGAGCACAATAAATGACACACACTTCCTTTGCCAAGCGAAATACAAAAATGCTTTTTCTCCTTTTCCATCAGCAGGGAAAAAGGAATCTCAGAAAAGTTTCCTGCGAGCAAGATTTCATCAAATGAGATGTACAGAAAAGGGTGAGCTTCAGCCGGTTCACTCCGGTTTGGCCGAACCGGAAGTTAATTTTGCATCTGGTTTGGTGAACTGGTAGTTCTAATGACTGGCTGGCCCAGCCCCACAAGTCCCCATGTGGCCCGTTTTGGAACCCAAGTTAAGTGCAGGGCCTGTGTGGAGACTCGGGAAGGGTGAAAAACGGGCCCCCAGAAGGATCCAGAAGGCCGGAAACGCGCATGTTTCGGCCTCCAGAGAGCCTTAAGAGCCCAGGGAGGGTGAAAACAGCCCCCCCTGCGGCCCTGTTTTTGCTCCCAGGTTGGTGCAGAAGACCGACTAGGCCACACCCACCCAGCAACCAGGAAGAGAACCAGTTGTTATTTGAAACCCACCCCTGGATGCACAGTATACCTGGGAGAAAATTTCCCTATGGGAATCAGGATCCGAGATTTACTTGTACACTTTAAAGGAAAATATTTATAGCTCAGGGATGAAACTAGGGGTCTTCGGTGCTCTCCGAGCTTGCTTGCTTTCGTGCAGATGTTTCATTACCCTAACTAGGTAACATCACCGGTACTAGAAGGGAGTAACGTTTCACCCCCAAAGGTCTCTCCTTAAACACTCCTTACTAGCACTGATGATGTTACTTCGTTGTGTAATGAAACATCTGTAAGAAAACAAGCAAGCTCTTAAGAGCACCAAGAACCCCTCACTGATACACTTTTTTGTTTAAAATGGTAGTTTTTCAAACTTGGTAGCTTTAAGGTACGTGGACTATCCGGCTGGAGAATTCTAGGAGTTGAAGTCCACACATCTTAAACTTCCCAGTTTAAAGAAGACTGGTTTAAAGATTCCTTTGAGTCAATCTTGATTCGTACCGGTATCCCAGATACACACAATTAACTTTCACGACAACAAAAAAAGCATGCCTGGGTTCCTATTGCCCCCATTTAGGTTTGTTTGTTTTTAATTTTCCAGTCTATAGTTTACAATTGTGTGTTCTCCCATCCAAATACGAAATGATTACAGGTAATCCTCGACTTACGACCAAATTTGGAACCAGAACTTCTGTTGCCGAGCAAGGCGGTTAAGTGAGTTGAGCTCAACTTTATGACTTGTGCCATGTATGTTAAACAAATCGCTTCGGTTGTAAATAAATCTCAGACATTAAATACACCCAGCGACTCCCATTGATTTTACTGGTCAAAAGCTGGCTGAGAAGGTCACAAGTGGTGATCACCTGACCCTCACCCCACCCCCAGGATGCTACAACCATCATAAATACAGGTTGGTTGCTAAGTGGCCAAAATTTTGATCACACGACCACTGCAATAGATGTGTGTTTGAGGACTGGTTGCAAGGCACTTTTTTCAGGTCCACTGTAACTTTGGGTGGTTGCTAAATGAATGGTTGTAAGTCCAGGACTGTGATGGCGAACCTATGGCACGCGTGCCACAGGTGGCGTGCAGAGCTCATTCTGCAGGCACATGAGCTGTTGCCCCAGCTCAGCTCCACAGAGCATGCGCACGCACCTCCAGCCGGCCAGCTGATTTTCAGGTCCTTGCCGTGCATGCACAGGGCACATGCGCGAGACACGGCGGCTCACAGGAGGGAGATTGCCGCGCCCCCCAGGCTTCCCCCAGCAAAAACGTACGAGGGGGGGGGCTGCAGCCCGTTTTTGCTCCCAGGAGGCTTCGGAGAGGCCTACTAGGCCCAAAATGGGGTGATGGGGGTGAGTGGGTGGGTTTCCACACGCACATGCGCAGGGGGAGCACGGAAGGGGAGTCCACATGCATGCAGGCAGGGCAAGCGGGAGGGGGTCATGCGTGCATTACATTGTGCAGGCACACACAATTTCAGCACACACAGCTAGACAAAAAGGTTAGCCATCACCGGTCTAGATCAAATGACTTGTGGACCCTTCCAACTCTACATTAGGGAATCAGCCTCAACAATAAAGTCCCACTCATTTCATTAGTATTCTCCTGCAACAACTACCAGCTATAAATTGTTATACACTGTTTCCTACTTCCTCCTCCAAAGCTATTAATGAAAAATACAAAAAAAAAAACCACCCACATTTTCATTCAAGATACAAAAAACCTATAAAGTCTTCCAACATTCTGCGCTTAACAAACTTTTTGGGAAGTCAGGAAAAGGTGAAAAAAAGGGCAAGGTTTAAAGCTTTATAGTAGTTGGAAATTCAATGTACTAAACATACATACATATTTTACAGTAGCTCTTTTTCTTAGTTCATATAAAAGACGAAGTAAAATTTTAATTAAAAGAAATATATTGTGAAGAAAGCATGCTTCTGTATCCAACCCTCACCAAATTGCTTACCCCACATGGTTGCCTACATATATTCCAAATAGCTAAGAGAAGGAACCAACTAAATTTAAAAAAAAAAATCTGCATTGCAAACTTACCTTTTTTTTAATTCACAAAGCACCTTAGACTTCGTTACTTTGAGGTTTCTTCCAAAGTTGGATGCAAACAGCTGTAGAGAAGAAACACAACAAAATCTTTTAAGCTTTTCTTTCTCTCCATACCTTTTCTTGATTCACAAAGTACAACAGTAGACTTTGCCACTTATAAATGCCCCTAGAAGTTTCTTCCGAATTCTTTTGTTCTTTGCTAATGTAACCAGATCTAGCTTCGGAACAGCTGCTGGGGTGAGGTTCGAGGAGGAACAAAATCAAACATGAAAACAAGGCAGAGATTGGGAGAAATGACACAAGACTAAAAAGGCATGTCTGGGCATAACACATTGCATGCTGCTTCTGCTGCTGCAGTGATTGTCCGATTGCTAAGAAAAAAACTGTTTTATACCAGGGGTAGCCAACTTCTGGACCTCAGGGACCACCAAACTCATAATTTTAAATCTCGCAGACCAGAGGCCCTGGGAAAATCCCCCAAAAAGTCCCCACCTTGGTTAATGGGTGGGCCATTAAGGCCTGGATTCTACATAACAAAGCTCTCTACCCATCTCACCACCTAGTCTGGGAAGATTGCATCAGCCAGCACTCAGGTGAAGCCATGTGGTCCAGACAAAGCCTACAGTTAGCTAAGACCCCTGCCCCCTGGGAGTCTTGACAGCCAATAGGATACATTTCTTGCACAGGAACAGAGGGTATAAAACTAAGGGTCTCTCAGCATTTGGACCCTTCTTTTCCTTCACCCAACATCTTGAAGCATGTGATCGTCCTTTTCACTTTGGAGCTCCAAGCCATGTGGTCCTGCTGTCCACCATTAAACCATCTTTCCAAGCAGTCACCATGCTTCCAGTGTCTTTTTCCCCACTTGGAACTGAACCCAGAAATTTAAATTCTTCCAACAGAGTAAAGCAAGAAAGCTCATAAAATGGGGCAAAAGCCACTGAGCAAATCTCTCACTTAGCAACATAAATCCTGGGTTCAATTGTCATAAGTAGAAGACTACCTGCAATGCAAAGCCACAACTGAAGCTCCCACCCCAAAATCAATTAAGTTTCTCTTCCCCCCTCCCAATTTATCAAAACATCCTTTCTTAGTGAGCTCCTAGAAGCCAACAGGAACATAGGTGTCAAGTTTGTAGGCTTTAAGGTTCTGGAGATTTTGTGATGATGTGTGAGTGGTATTTCCCTTTTATAGATATAGAAAATAGAAGATATACACACACACACATAATATACATACACACATATATGTAAAACCTGTAAAAAGGTTGCAAAGAAGGAATGCACAATGGCCACCAGGGTGTAGCTGCTCCCTCCCCAAAACACGCAACCTCCAGAACAAGTTTATTACACTTCATCCTCCTCTTATCTTCACCTATCCTGGCTTATTTTCCAGATGTAATGAACTGAGTTGCTGCCAGCGGGGAGAACTGCTTTCGAGGCGGAAACCTCAACAGCCCCGAGAGCCCTCTTTATAAAAGGCCCAAGCGCTCCCTCCTTAACGTCCCATTTTGATTTTCCCCGCGTTCAGTTTCTCCCGCCATTACCTATCCGGGCAGACCCTTTAACGGACTTCTTGCATTTCCCCGGATGCATTTGCAAAACCGCACCAATAAACTATACTTAAAAGTCCATGAACATCGTATTCTAATTATTCCAAAGTAAGCCCCATCGTTTTCTCTCTTTCGGATAGGACCTAGTAGTCGCTCTATTTTTTTATATTTATATGTATTTATATTACATACATACATCTATATATGTGCGGGTACATATGTATATACATATATATGTGTATGTATATATAAAACTGTGTGTATATACACACAAAAACATACAATCTATGTTATATTAATTATATATATTTAAAAAATTGCACTATAAAAACTAAAGTGACCATTAGTGCCAGAGATTGAATATCTCTCTGTATATATATAATTGCAATATTAAAACTAAAGCGACAATTAGTTGCCATCCAAAACAGAAAATATACAAATTTCCATTTATGCATATACATCTAAAATATTGCAATATCCCAATAATTGCACCTCGTAGTAGTGAAGCGCGAGAGGAAAACTCTACCTAGAAAGCGCTACGCCTGCAAACCGAGCGGTGCAAACCCAGCGTGCCGCGGTTTCTCCCACAAGCCAGGATTTAACCATCCAAGCTCGGCGCAACGCGTGACCTGCATCCATGCAGAGTTTTTAGCCATCCCAGGCTTTTTTCCACCGAGCATTTGCTCCGAATCATCCGCCCATCCCAAAAGGCAGGAGCGAAAAAAAATCCCAAAATGCAAAAATAACGTTATTTAAGTCTCCCTTTACTGACTTCTTCAGTTAGCATCGGGCGAAGATTCGCAGTCCAGCCAAACAAACACTGCAAAGAGGCGCAATTGCCCGCGGCGAACAAAACAAAAACAAAAGCGAACTTTGCTCCGCGACACACTTACCAAAACTCATCAGAACAAGGGAAAAGAATTGCTGCGCACGCGCAGAACGCCCCCTGGGAAAAAGGGATTCCCCGCGGGCCCCACCCACAACGCCGAGTAGGGCTGCGCCTGCGCCGTTCGGAGCGGTCACGTGCATCGGCCCCGCCTGCGGCAGTGAGAGATGACTTATCTTTTCCTGAGAGGCGGAGGAAAAAAGAGGCCGGCTGAGGAGAATATTTCTTTTTTTTAAAAAAAAAAAGAAAACAAACAAACGAAAATAATAATGATTCGACTCTGATAAAGCGGTATTGAGGAAAGGGGCCCGCAAGTAGAAAGCCCCTACCCAACCAAGTGGGTGAAATAAGGCGTAACAGATGGTTAGCAACTACACAGCCTATGGTTCCCAGCCAGAGAGAGCTGTGGAGGGTGACTGTATTACTGGGCGCATGGACTTAGGGTGTCGTTGTTACTGTAGCTATTTGTCAGGTATGATTGACTGATAAAGCAGTGAGCGACAGCCACCCCCACTTTGGAGGCGGGATAGGCATGTCGGAATCCAGTGAGATCTGCCTGGGAATACCGGGTGCTGTAGGCTTTTGCCTCCGGTTCTCTCCCCACGCCCAGCCTGTCACCCCTGCCCTTTGCTGCCACTTTAACACTTTTGGTGCCCTCCCCCCGCTCCCCCCTCCCACGAATCTCTATAGCCGTCCAAGCAATCAAAGTTTAAA